AACAAACAGGCAAACAGAAATAAACAGCAACAAACATATAAATTATAATAAAAAAGAACAAAGCATACCACAGAGAGAAAGGGGAGGAGAGAGAAAATCCATATCAACATGAAATCAAAACTTATAATATACAAGCAAAAAAAATGATAAAAATAAAAGCCCTAAAACAAAGCAATATGAGAAAAAAAGCCAAAAACTACCATTGAACTTGTGTCATATTGGCATCTACTACTTGTCATGGGTCCTATCATTAAGTGTGGTTAACATAACCAGTGAGACTCCATTGGAGAAAACTAACTTTTCCTTTGTAAGAGGATGCCAGTGACCCTAAACTCTTGGCTAGGACTTTAGAGGTGAAAGCCCATGATTACTTCCCCCTCTCGGTGCTGGGACCCCAGGTAGCTTGAATATGTACAGACCCTGTGCATGCTGCCACATTCTCTGTGAGTTCATGTGTGCATCACTCCAGTTGTGTATAGAAGACACTGTTTACTTAGAATCACCCATCCTCTCTGCCTTAAAAAGCCAATGTTTAGAGATGCATCATGAGTCAAGTCTTTAAAGTGGATCACATCGAATTATTAGATTGTCCTCTTCAAAATCTCACTTTGGCTCCACAGTTCTCTGCAAGGAAGCTAGATTATGGAAATTCCATAGAAGAAGAATCAGTGTATCTAATCTGAGCTAATTGTCACTGATACACAGTGACAATCATGACGAAAAGTTTGGAGTAAAACGTTATAATGAAAGACGGTTCTACTCCACAATTAACAAGATATGGTTATTAAATATTGGAGTAACTTATTTAAACCTTCTTTACCAATTGGTTATACTGAAGGCTTCTAATTGGAAGGAATTCATTTTACATTACTTATTTTTACACCCTGCGTTTGTGTTACACTTCCTGCAGTAAATACCCCTAAAATACCAGTAGTGGGGCACAATACAAGCATCAATGTTTTACATAGCTGCCATGACTAAGATGGCCCAATTGCCCACTAGTTTTCCAAGCAGTGTCTCATCAAGTCAGTGTTCTTTCTTTCTAAGATATGGCTTGAGCCTAATATCTCATTGTTCTCAGTTCCAGATAAACAGATACAGAAAAGAGAGAACATAATTAAATCATAAATGATTCTTCACCATGTTATCGCAAAAGTGAGGCACTAGGATTCATCTTTAATCAGCCAATACCTCTAACATAGGCACATTAAAAGCAATGTGACCTTTCTAATTGTAACTCTATGCTAGTGAACAGTAAGCTTTTGGCGGCATAATTATTTCTGCTATTGTTTTTTTTTTTGCATTTTTAAATGTCTTTATTATTTTATATTTTATTATTTTTATTTTTTAAATATTAGTTACAGTTTATTAACTTTGTAACCCAGCTGTATCTCCCTCCCTCATTCCCTCCCAATCCCACCCTCCCTCTCTCATCTCCTCCTTGCTTCTTTCCAAGTCCACTGATAGGGGAGGACCTCCTCCCCTTTCATCTGACCCTGGTTTATCAGGTATCTTCAGAACTGGCTTCAAAGTCCTCCTCTGTGGCCTAGCAGGGCTGCTCCTCCCTCGGAGAGGGAGGAGGTCAAAGAGCCTGCCATTGAGCTCACAGGGACTATTTCTGCTACAGTTTTCTTCAGAGTAATTCATTATTGAATGAACATATTCCTTGCAGACAATTTCCATAGATATTGTATGAAGCAGCTTGATTCTAGGAAGTCTACACATCAGCCTTGGAAAAGGGTGCTAAAGAATAAGGCAGACATACAGTTACATAGAACTTGAGGCTGGAGAAGTAAGTTGTCACTTGAACCAGAAGAAAATGGTGAGGGGTTAGATTTCATAATGAGGAATAACAATTAAAATTTGTTTTTTTTCCCCCTCGCAAATATAGTATTGGCAGCATTGTCATTCATAAGTTTTAGAAGGCCAGACTGAGATGAGGAGACTCATTAAAGATGACAAAGTCAGTCACAGTGGTCCATGGAGGGGGTGAAGTTGGAAGTAGATGTGATATGTAGGTAGCAGTACAAAGAGAACTTATTTTCAAGTGTGAAAAGCTTTCAAAGAGGTAGATAGAGAATTACCTCCTTCTTGAAATCCTGAGGAACTTCCCCTTACCATTGTAGAAGTTTCAAAAATAAAAGCAGGACTTTGGGGGAAAATCGTAAGTTGTATTTCAGAACTACTGAATTCAGTACACCTGTGCATCTTCTAACAGCAGTGGAGGCAGTCAATCACAGTTGACTGAATTGAGACTTTAGATGAAGAGAGTGACTTAAAACTATTAAGATGCTTGAGCATAAATGACTTCATCCCTGAGAACTGCACAAAGTAGGCAGAGGAGGGAATCTAAAGATTGAGAGCTAGAAAGAGTATGTAAGCAACATATCTTACATACTTGAAACAAAAGTGTAGCTGCAAAGTCAGACATTGAATCATCATTCTGACAGGAAGGCAACATCCAAGGTACAGATCAGTACATATGACTGAGAAGAAACCGCAGTTGAGTGATTTTCCTTGAACCTGAGAAGGGTCACTTGATTTGTCAACATTTCAGAAGCAAAGGGTTCCAATATGCATCATATTTTTCTTTATAGATGAAGAATTTATACTTGATGTTCTCAATACTGCTTATAATTAAGAAGCAAACATATTTGCAGAGTCACAGATCACTTAGCAAAGACAAAGGATCACTGTGTAGACCCTGAAATCCCTGAGGAAATTATTGACCTTGCAGCAAATGTAATTTTGTAAATGCACATTTGATTGATTGTACTACTTTATTTGATAGTTTATTTAATGCTACATTGTGGTTATGTGGCTGTCAAGAATGCTGAACACTGTCCCATGCATGCAACTTTGTTCACTTAATTTCATGCTATAACCCTTGGGAGATAACTGACATAGCAGACTCTGCTATTTGCTCATACTTGTTTCTGCTCTATAAAAACCTGTTAGAAGATTAAGGAAAGAGTAAAATTTAGTGTGGTGTGTACATGTCATTGTAGATAATCATATCTTCAGCTCTTCATTTGCATCAAATTACCTATAGGTCATCTTAATAAAGTCTTGATTTTTACCTTGATAACTTTTTCACAAGCTATACATTACTTATAAAACATTCTGTAGTACTCTATTAAGATTTCAAAGTTTTTATATGGTAGAAAGCCTTTAATTCAGTCAGTTAATATTTGGGCAACTGTTTATTCATTGTAGAGACAGTAAGAATTATAGTGGTGATGGTAAAGGGGAAAGAGTTATTCATATAGGTATCTTAAAGCCTTAAAATCTCATACTAAATATGTTTCAAAAGATAGGGATATAGTGGTAGAACACTTGCCTAGCATATATAAAGCTCTAGAATCAAGTTCCACTAAAAAAAAATGATAAACAAAATGAGCTTTATAGAGATATAAAACAATAAATGAAAGTGCTTTAATTGGTGTCAACATATACAAATTTCTTGGGAATTTATAGACTTAAATGTGTAGATCAAGCACAAGACTTTATGATACAAACCACATAGTGTTGAACCTTATTTTATCTGCAAGAACTATGTCTCTATATAAGATTCACCTGAGAAACCAATTAAAGAGCCTATTGAAGGTGGTTAAAACAGCCCCATTTGGGGATCTTTTAATTTTTTTTTATTGCTTCTTTGTGAATTTTACATCATGTACCCCAATCCTACTCATCTACCCTCTCCCTTCTTATCTACCCTCTAACCTTGCAACATCCCTCTCAACAGAGGAAGAATATCTCATTGTGGAAGCTGTAGTGTGTCACAGTGTGTCCCACAATATACTGTTCTGTCCAAGTCTCTTTGCTTGCAAATTTTCATTGCAATGACTTGTTGGTCTGATATGAGGCCTCTGGCTTCTGTTACTCTAAAGATACTGGAACCTCGTTATGACACCTTTACGATATCCTTTTGTTGCTCTGTGTCATGGAGCTCCTGTAGTTTTGGATCAGTAGGACAACTTCCTTTATGCACTCCAGTAGGTAGTCATGGTTAGATATTGGGCTGAGCTAATTCAAAGCTCTGGATCCAGGGCTGAGATGTATCTGAGTTGGCTAGCCCACCAACTCTCCTACCTTCATGTTATCAGGGATAGCTCAATAGAAACTCCTGCTACTAGGGCGAGCTCTAGCCTGATGCCCAGACAAGGTGCAGGGCCTGCTCTCTTAAGTGCTTCAGCTGGTGAAGGATATGGACAGTTCTCCCACTCTCATGACCCTGGGGTCAGCAATTCTTTCCTGTCATAGATGCTGAGGGATGAGAGCGAGGGGCATCTCTACTTCTTCTGTGCCACTACTCAGCAGACAAGAGACAGGGTCAGCTTCCCCACACTCCAAGCAGCAACACAGATCAAAGACATCTACCCTGCCTTTGGTGATAAAAGACCCCGATGGCTTCAGGGCCACAGACCAAGATGTGGGCACCTGTGGTAACACAGGCCAGGACTCCACCATGGTCCAAGGTGACATCATCAACTACTCCCAGTTCCAGTTCTGCTTCTTTTCACTGTGCATGCATCCTTCTATTTCCCCTTCATTTCTCCACCATTTACTTGCTCCTCTTAGAGGTACCAGGGTCTCTGAGTGTCTGGGGTCATCTCTGGAGTGGTGTCAGTAGTGCTATGCCCTGGTCATAAATTATGACACTGGACAAGTCATCTTGGTCATGGTCTTCTCCTCTATCCCCCCACCCAGGCCTGCATGTTGTCTAGGCCTTATGGTGCTGGGCTGGTGGTCATCTCCAGCTTGTTCCTTGCCTGGCCCGTCAGAGTGACCTTATGGGAGGATTTTCTGTGTCAGGCTTACTCCCACCTGGGCCCTCAGTCCCAGGCCAGGCTCTTCTAGTCTGCAGGTTGCTCACGATCCTTGTTGCTGCCCAGTATGTATAGTGCCAGGCTGGTAACCATCTCAGGTTAGCTCCCTCTCTGAGCCCCCTGTGGCTGGATTGGTGGTTGTCTCAGGCTCTTTTATTTCTTTAAACAAATATTAGGCTACTAATCATTCAGATGTTCATTGGTCGGAACACTGAGCATAGACATCGCCTCTCTCCTCTCTGCCACCTACTGACACATATGTGGCACAGCAGCCACATTGGCAAAGCTTCTAGAGGCAGGTCCATTTTTGGATCTTTAATTTCTCCTGTGCATTAATGTCTTATGTCATTTGCTAGCTCACATGTTTGTTACTATAACACATAAAAATATATTAAAGAAGCAAGAAAAATACCAGGATTCAATTTCAAGCTTAGCTTGCGTAAAGTAAAAGTTTTTTTTTTTCGTTTGCATTTTTGAACAATTATGGATTGTGAAGAACAGGATAGGATAGTTAGTGTGTTGTGTATGTGTGTGTTTGTGTGTGTGTATGAATACAATACATAAGTTCACAAACTCATTATGCTTAAAGAAGCACAAACCTATTATCCAAAAAGTGAAAATAAACATGGGCTTTGAAAGGTCAGATTTCAACTCAGTGATATCTCAAAACTCCATCTGGAATTACTAAATGATTAGGCAAACCATTTTCTGAAATTCTGATTCAACAAATTTTTATTTGGTGATTATAGACAAATGCTTAGCCTAGTTTGGTTTTCTAGAATAGCAACACTACTTTGCAGAGATGTTAGGAGAAAATACATGCAAACATACGTGCAGTCAGTATGACAGAGTAGTGATCATGGATCCCAGTCCTCTTCCTAACCTACTTTTATGCCAGAGATTGGGAAAGTCTTCGTCACAAAGATGTGAAAGATATTAGGAGTTGTCCAACCACAGTCATGGGAAAGACTAGCTTCTAAATCTTTTTCTGATAAAGCAGAACTACCAAGAAGGAAAAGGGGTGAGGATCATCTCACTGAGGATAATAAGGTGAGAGATCAACAAAGTTTAAAACTAAATATGATTGACCTTACTTTAAATATAACATTACATTGTAAAATGACAGAAAGTCTGGTTGAATTGCAGAATGCCTTTGAGTGGGAGATTTTATAAGGAGTTGGACAGACAAACGTAGAGACTGTGAAGCTCAGATTGACAGTGTGACGAACACCATGCTTTATTGGTGATTGGAGGCCAGGAGCGTAAGAGTCATTGTGTTCCCTGGTCACACTGTGTCTCTGCAGTCTATTTCTCACACACATAAAAATGGAGTTCATGACTCCAGACACTTAAAAGTCCTATTGCTGAATTAGAAGGAAAGGGAAAAGCTGTTCCTATTGACTCTGGTTCAGAGCTTACGGACAAATTTTTCTGTCACATTGTATATCATTCCTATCACATTTTCAATTTTTTCGCTTTAGTTGAACAAGGACTTACCACATTTTCATCATTACACAAAGAACTGAACTAGGCACTAGAGTGACGAATTAAAAGCAGCCTTTAAAGCTTATATATAACCTGCTGCTATACATTAATAAAGATTTCTCAAGTTAGGACCTCCATTAGGAAATCTTGATCTACTGAAAACTAAAAAAAAAAAGTCACTTGTATTCCTTATTGGATATTTACTGTTAATTTATACTCATTTAAATTCCATCCATGCGTTTGACACCACAAAACTAAATGTTTCATATACCCGTCACTTTATTACATGAGGGATGTAAGAACAAACTTGTTTCTTCAGCTCATTCAGTTTCTAATAAACCCAGAATACAAATTTTGTTCCATTAAAAATAAAATGGAATCTCACTATCCTACAGCCATTTAAATGCTTTAGAATAGAACAGTCTGCTTTTTATTCCAGGAGGTGTATACAATAAATCTCATTATGAAAATTACCATATTCAGACTATCTTAATATTGCACATGCCCGTATCTCCACCACCTTCAAACAAACAAATAATGGTGGAAATTATGCAACACTGACAATTGCCAGGAAATGCTGTTGAGAAATAAACTTTTTTCCCCTCTTGTTTGTTAAAGTAAAATAGCATCTTTTCTCATTTAACTAGCTAAAATACTTCTACATTTTTAACATTTAAATAAACTGAGAAAATGGAAAATGCCAATGGACAATGACATTAATAAATGCCTTATTTTGGTGTGTGTGCCAACATACAAATATCAACACATAAAATCAAACCAATATGTTTTATGATTAAAGATGTAGAAAAATCTGTAGAAGTTCCTGTTAGTATTTGACATGATTAATTTCTGCTTACTGCTGTGTGTTATTATGCTGACTTTTTTAAAAATCTGAACATTGAGATAGCAATTTGAATAGAGGCCCTTTGAGATGTGATCTAAGTACAAGGAAGGCCTACCTGTTCTTAGTAAACTTTACTCCCGGTGAGTTCCTGGTTGGTACTCACCTCTTCTCTTTGTAAGATACAGAAAGCGTCATGACCAGTACGATACATTCACTTCATGTCTAAAAGAGCAAGAGGCATATTATATCACAAGACAGTTCTTAAACTTTTATGTGCTTCATCCCTTTGCTGAGTGAATACTGAGGTCATATTTCCTCTTCTGTGCCTGTACAGAAGTTATGTTCTGTATTTTTTCCAGGTGAAGTCAAAACAATCCAGGACTTGTTATAGTACAGTGCAACTGTATTATATCCCAATACGTTCCTCTTTTGGATTGACTCTCAGTCCCTAGGGCTCCAATAGAAAGATGTCTATATGTATCCCCACGTGTTTCTCTTTATGAGTTGCACTTCTCGGATACAATGGGGAGTCCAGCCTCTCTGTTAAGCAGAGTCCAAAAATCCTCTGTGTGCTGTCAAGCTCCTCACAGAAGTTATGGAACCCACATGACTGCAGAGTAATATTTAAGTTGCAATCTGAGATCTTCCCCATACAAATTTACTTTTTTAATACCCTGCATCTTGCTTTTTAAATGGGTGCACTAGAGCTGATCCTCCATATCTTACCCAATGCTATAGAGATCACATGAATGCTTTTGATGTAATGAAATCAAACAGAAGGCTTTTGAGCTCTGAGGTTTTAATTAAATTTAATGATTAAAATTAAAAATAAACTTTAAATTGAAAACCTTATGGAAGAAGAGGGAGACAGTAAGACCTGGAGGGGAGAGAAACTCCACAAGGAGAACAACAGAGCCAAAATACCAGGGCCTGGGGGTAGAGAGGGAGCATTCAGAGACCAATATTCCAGTCAAGGACTAAGTATGGAGAGAACCCAGCCCCCCTGCTCAGACGAAGCCCATAGGCTGCTCAGTTTCCAAGTCGGTTCCCTAGTAAGAGGTAAAGGGGCTGTCTCTGACATGAACTCAGTGGCAGACTCTTTGATCACCTCCCTCTTGGGAGAGCAGCTTTGCCAGTCCACAGAGGAAGATGATACAGCTAGCCTGGATGAGATCTGATAAGCTAGAGTCAGTTAGAAAGGAAGGAGGTCCTCCCCTATCAGGGGACTAGGGAAAGGGCACAGGGGGAGAAGAGGATGAGTGGGTGGGACTGGGAGGAGATAAGGGTGGGGGCTGCAGCAGGAATACAAAGTGAATAAATTGTAATAAATAAATAAATAATTTTAAAAAAAGAAAAGAAAACATGCTTTCAGTGTAGAGCTCTTTCACTTTTTTCCCCAAATAACTGAGTCTTGAACTACAATCGGATCCATTTGCATTTGGCTATCATTCCTAATGTGTCTTAAAATGTAGTATTGACACGATACGGGGGTAGAAAACTAATGTGCAAGTTTAAGAACATTGTTTAGTGGTTACTGTTTAATTAATTATACATTCTATTTTTATCGCCATAGGATAGTCAATGAACATCATTCTTGCAAAGCACAGGTCAATTGGTTTAAATGATTTTTCAAATGTAGAAGGAGAGTTTTGATTCTATAGTCTATTTAAAATAACAGTGGATATATAAGCCTAAAATGTCTATGATTACAGCTTAGATTAAGGAATGATTTGGTTGTGAGAGTTAGTAGTTTTTAATCTCATTTTCACAGCTAATTATGGGGTAAGTTTAGAAAATCATATGCAAGAAAGAGCATCTGTCTTCTGAATTCTCTTGATGTAAAATGATGATAACCCTTACTTGTTTCTTCTGCATCAGAGGTTTTGGAGAGTGTTCTTAATGTAATTCAGGATTTGAAGCTAAGAGTAAAGAAAACAGTAGCATAAGAGCCACGCTTCAGGAGACTTTGTGGATATTTTCCCCAGTGTGTGTAACATTTGTCAGCGTTTTTGCTTTGCTTAAACTGAATGTGCTGGTAACTGTCCAGTATGTGCACATATCTTTAAATTCTGTATACAACTTTTTATTATATAACAATACTGAATAATTACTTGATATTTAACACGGGATGAGATGCCTTCTTATCCCCTCTCTGCCGTTGTGACCTCTGTGCTTACCTAATGTTACTGAAATAAGATTTTCTATGAAACTAAAAATAAAACTTCATCATTACTTGTTTTATGGTAGTTATACAAAAAGAAGTAATATTATCAGAGTTGTTAAGGTCAGAGCATGGGCCCTCATCATCCTGAAAAGACAGTCATGGCCAGCCATTCTCAGATGGCAATTAAAAATTATAATAGTTAGAGAGGAAGAAGGTGCATTCAATATGGTCACATGTAAAATAGGATCTTTGATCCCCAAGTCTAACTTTTGCATCCTGACATGCAAAAATTTAAGATGAACTAGATGGTAGAAGTCTGCATAATTAAGTACTCCTGGTGCAGGTATATTCACCCATTATTGTCTAAGCTCCACTATCTCCTTAATTATGATCCAAAAAGATGTCATAATTGTGTGATATCTCTTCCTGGGAGATAAACTCTTCTGAATGTCTTCTACCTTTTTCTTTTCCCAGAATGTGATGTGTGCATAAATTCTATTTTTTTGAGTACCATTGCTTCAATTGTCATATCCTCATATTAAAATGTAGAAGTTTCTTGTTTAGCATATCTTCTCTTCTTCTAGGAGACTTTACACTAAGTTCTAGTGAAGGTCAGCTTCCGTATTTTCTTATTTTTCACTATGCTATTTGGGACGCTGACAAGATTTTAAGTTCTAAAATATTTACATGTACCTACACACACACACACACAGACACATTTCTTAGAGTGGTTGCTTTATTCCAGCCATGGGCGCCCCTGATAGAAGTAAACATCTTAGTGCATGTGAGTGTTTCAAATGTAGCAGC